TAAGGTGGACCATGGAGTGGTCAGAGAGGCCCAGTGCAGCATGGGGGACGGTGTGATATGCTCTGCTGTCTGGTGACCTTACTTGGTCTCTCAACTGAGAGCAGCAGCAGAGAGAGGCGGTGTATAATTCATGACCAGAAATCAAACACTTTTATTCCTATTCAACATTAATGAAGCAACACTGAATATGACAGCACCCAGAGTGAGCAAAGAGAGACAGAGTGAGAGATTTATATGCAACACGTCTGTGTCACCTTTAGCATCAGAGATTTCACACTGCAGGAAAACGACTCTGCAGCTTGTGTGAGTTGTCGAGTGGAAGTGAAGGAAAACACGCTGAAAGGTAAATTCCATAATTATTTAACCTCTTAAAAAGGTTCAGTGTGTAACATTAAGGAGGATATATTGACAGAAATGGAATATAGTATTCCAAGGTATGTTTTTATTAGTGTAAAATTACCTGAATATAAGAATCGTTATGTTTTTGTTAACTTAGAATTAGCAGTTCTTACGACTGCGGGTCACCTCCATGGAGTCTGCCATGTTGAACGGACAAACAGTAGCTTCTCTTACACACTTGACAGCCGTTCTCATTTCCAGGTCATCAAATACTGACCCAAATGGTAAATAAATAATTAATAAATAAATAATAACTGTATTTATATAGCTCTTTTCTAGTCCTTCGATCACTGTACACTAAATGCCACACTCACCCCATTCGCACACATTCATACACTGATGGCAGTGGCTGCCATGCAAGTGCCAACTGCTCACCAGAATGGAAACTAAGCATTTACACACCAATGGACAGCATCGGGAAACTGGTGGACAACCCACTCTACCTCTGAGCCATATATATAATATATTATTATATATTATAATAATATTTATGATGGGCCCTAATTTACACCCAGTGCAAAGTGGCTTATATGGCTGTGTTGGTCTTACAATGTGGTGTGGTCAGGTGAATTGTTGGCACGTCGCCATCTTGAGGCAGCAGAAAGTGATGAAAAACCTGGTCTAAAGTGAATGGAGCAGCATTTTCCTACTGTCTAAAGGGGGCATAATTCTAGGACTGTCCCCTAATAGTCAAGTAAACTGTTAATTAGACTAAGAGCTTGAGTGGGGACGGAAGCTTAGCTAGAGTGGGGGTTAACTAAATGTTCAGTCTCCTTGCTAGTTGTTCTGACACATTCACAATCATTACCGCTTTTTCTGTTAGTGCTTAAGAGGGAGGTGTTAAAATATATATATTTAAATAAATTAAATATCATAAACGTTCAACTAATGGCTTTATCTAACTAATTGACAAGGAAAATCTTTAGTCGGGGGAAGCCCTACATTATTCACATAGTAGGGTGCGCCTACATAGGCGGGTTCACAACACACACACTCCGCTTCAACAGACATTCAGTATTAAGCAAAGCTAGGCCAGTCTCAGTGGACAAACCTTCAAACAGCACACAGACACATTGGTATTCATGAGTTTGTTCCACTCTGGAATAGCTAATATAGCCAGAAAATTGGTTCAGGAATTATCTTACAGACCGCACACAATGTGTTTCCACAGACTGTCTTCAATCTTTCAAGACTTTTTAGACATTTCTAAGGGTGTACCCCAAGGTACGAGTTTAGCTTTTATTTTCTTTATTTATAAAAAAAACTTAATGTGTATATTTTTTAGTGCTGTCAAACGATAAAAATATTTAATCGCGATTAATTGCATTAATGTCATAGTTAACTCGCAATTAATCGCAATTTATCGCACATTTTTATCTATTCTAAATGTCCCTTGATTTCTTTTTGTCCCATTATTTTTTCTCATTTTAATGCTCTTATCAACATGGAAAAGTGGATCAGCTTGCTTTGTGCAAATGTCGTTTTTATTGAAAAATCATCCATTGTCGCCTGGCTTTGACGAGGGGGCGGAGAATTTGCATCAGCTGTGTGCTTGGCCATCAAGTGGTATTTCAGACTGGACGTGCTGCGATGATAGCTCAGTTCACAACGACAAAACACACAGATCACTTTGGTCTTGTCAATAGAACCATTTGGCAACTTTTTAAATTTAAGTAAACTTTCCATTCAGAATATTATTGGCATCCATTTTGGCATCTCGCGCTCGCCATCCACTCAAAACGTAACGTCTACTACTCTTAAACAAGTGTGTGCGGCGTGCCTGTTTTGTTTCTGGTCTAGTTAGATCCGGTGTGGTGTTGTAGTTTTTCTAACGTTACTAGTTGTTGCAACAGCATGTGAAAAAAAACTACAAAGTGTGCTAAGCCAAAAAGAACGTTAATCTCGCGATAAAAAAATTTACGCCGTTAAAATGGGTTTGCGCCTTTAATAACGCGTTTAACTGACAGCACTAAAACTTTTGTGTACCATGCATCCCCGGCCATGCTGGGTAAACTCTCCTCCTTTTTTATGTAATCTTCTGACTGAGAACTCCAGCAGTCTGGCCACCAGGTGGCGCTCTTAGCAGGTTCCAAGGGTTTTCACTGAGCTGGGGAAAAAGCTTTAGAGCTTTTTTTTGGCCTTTCCTTGTGTGTGTGTGTGATGTTTGCACTTTTTACTTTGAATTGTAACTGGTGTGCCGTTTTGGCCAGGTCGACCTCCTGGTTAAATAAAGTTGCTTGGTTCCAATATAAAAAAGAAAAAGGAGTAAATTCCCATACTGAGGCAAAAAATAACCTTTAAAACAAATTAATCACACACTATTATTCTAACGAAAATAAACAATAGCCTCAAAACTCATTTAATTTCTTCAATGCAGTGTGGCCCAGTGCCAGTTTATCAGAGAATGAGCAGAGATCTGTCAAAGTATTTCTTCAAAAGGTTTCTGCAGGTTTCAGATTAAAAGCTGCAGTAGGTTACTTTTAATAACTTTTATTATGAAAGAAAACAACCAATCAGAGCTGAGAAAGATATAAAGACTCTATATAAAAGAAACGTGGGTTGGAGGCCAAGAAAGACAGTTGATAGTTGAGTCTCATTCCCAGCATCCTCAAGCATCTGTGTCTGACGCCCTGGGAATGAATTAATTCAAACTCAAAAATCAACTCTCTTTCATCTACCTACAGCAGCTTTAAGATCATTATGAATTCAATTCAAGACCTATTACACATCCATACTGGCAAAAAAGAATTATTTGGAATAAGACCCAGAATGAGTAAAAAAAATTTATTCACATAAACAGTCAACTAAATATGACTACACAGAACTGTGTATGAACAAGAGGTGTGTGTGTGTGTGTGTGTGTGTGTGTGTGTGTGTGTGTGTGTGTGTGTGTGTGTGTACATTCTCCGCACCCTCCTCTGTGTGAAAGTTTCAGATGCGGCGAGGGGGGAAATGTTGCTCCGTCCCTGATCCTCCCTAGTATCAGGGACGCATTATTTTCGAACCGCCTACAGTGTGAACGGATGCGGAGCGAGGGTGTGTCGGTCAGACAGTCTTATAAATGCACAGGTCTCTCACTCAACTTAATAAAGAGAAATGTCCCACAAAGCAACGTTACAGGACCAAACAACAGTAACGTAGTAACTGTAACTGTCTTTGGAAACTTACATGAGGAAAAAAAATACCACAGCAGTACGTGGAGAAGCGTCTGTCCTCCTGTCTGTCCTCCCGCCTGTCCTACCGACTCTTCGTCACATTTCTGCCCGAAAAACAGCGTCTGTCACCGGCGAGTGTTTGTGATCAAAAATCAAAAATCACCGACCACCAGCCCTCCGGACCGAGACATCAGTTTACTTTCACTTTTCAGGATGTTTGGGCTCTGCAGTGATTGGCTCTGGTGCACACGTGGCTACGGTGGCTGTAGTTGACAATGCTAGCAGAATTCGGAAATATTTTTGTAGTCCAAACAAAGCCGACGTTGCACACCCTTAAACCACACACACACACACACACACACACACACACACACACACACACACACACACACACACACACACACACACACACACACACACACACACACACACACACACACACACACACACACACACACACACACACACACACACACACACACACACAGATTTCTTGCTTTATAGATAGATTATAATCAGAATAATAGTGAATATCTTCACATAAGTGACAGTAAAGCTGTCTAGTATGCTAACATACAGTGTAGTTTATTTCGAACTGCCACAAGGGGATCTTTCCACTTGCCAAAATCCTAAACTTGTCAGGAAGGCATGGTTTGCCCATTCTTTCCCCCCAAAACAAGTTAAACTTATTGGATTCCAAACTAAACAGCAGGGAGATGAGGTGCATATCTGAGGTGTCATTTCTGTGACACAATGAAAATATTTGTTCCTTCACAAAGCAGTCTGTTTTAATCACATTTGCATGATCATAATAATAAGATTATCAATAATCATAATATTAAAAATATTTAACCCACAATGAAAGCTCTTTTCTGGGTGTTTTCATAAATACAAAAACAAAGACTCACATAAGCCTTGCAGTAAGCCACTAAGCCCCCCCGTCCATGCTCAGACAAGCTGCCTCTAAATAGCATGGAGCCTCCCCGCCATTCAATATCCAAAAGTTGGCACAAAGAGTTTATTAAGGTTTAATATTGAGCACATTTTCTCTGATGTGCAGGAGTGATAACTAAGAGACAACCAATCAAGCTTGTTTTGATACCCTTGGGAAATGGAAGAGCAGCTGTTAGCAGGTGAGCTGTTAGTCACCTTCACCTCTGCAAAAGCACTTCAAATGTGGGAAAAGCAGATTACAGCAGTAAACAGCTTCCCCATTTAATATTATAAAACTTTAATGAGCTACCAGGACTTAAAAGTGACACATGGACACAATAGAAGTAGAAGAAAATAGGAAAAACAGTCCAATCAGAGCCAGGTTGAAATGCTAGCAATATGTTTCTGTCTACAGCAACAGCGCTTTCATTCAATCAAAATCATGTTGTTTATTGTGTATGAATCAACAACATAAAAATGTATGTGTACAGGGATGTTATAATGCTCACACACCTTTGTCTATGCTGCTGTGGGCCAAGTTGAGGAGCTGCAGAGAACACGCCTCCAGGATTTGCTGGTGCAGGTTGATACAGCGCAGGGTCCACCAGGGCAGCAGCTGAAAAAAGGCAGGTGAGAAAAAACAACAGATAAAACAAACAAGAATGTGAGAAAATAAATAACAAACCTCCTTAAATGAAATAAGAATTCTGAAGAAGATGATGGGAAGAGTAAAAAAAAAAACCTTGCACTATACAGAAGCTTTGAGATGAATAAAAAAGTTTGGTGTATGAGCCGGGTTGTTTTGGAGGGATGGAGCCCTTACCATCAATTCATATACACTGAACAGGGGATGTGATCCTAATAATCGCCTGCCCTTTCCTCAACAGCCAGGACTTACAGGTTTTCATCATACACCCAATTTTACTGGACATATTGAACCCTGTTCAACTTCAACTGTCCAGCCTGGAGACCGCAGGGCTTAACTCTTCTCAAATGGGGGCATGCATATCCCTAGGGGTACTCTGGAGTAGTGCAGGGGGTACATGAGATTATTATTATTTATTTTTTAAATGATGCATAATTCCTAAAATAATTATACTATAATAAGTTTGAAAGAAAATGTAAATGAAAGTTCAATAAACCATATTTTATATTCAATATTCCCATTTTTAATGCAATTGATAATAGACAAATTACAACTTCCCTTAAAACCTCCCAGGAGAAGAAGAAAGACAATGATGTTTGTTCACTGTGAACGGGAAGCTAGTTTCGATGTAGCGACAATACAGCTGAAAATGGAAGAATGTGTATATGCATTGATACAGATAGTAAATAAAACTGGGGAAATAGCATTACTGTTAATAGCATTACGGACTTGTTGCGACCCAGAGCACAAAGTTACATACTACAGGAACAGGCATACAGAGGGTACAGTGGGATTTATTCACCCAAATAAATGTCTTGCAGCCATGTCAGTGCTATATTTTTCTCTTGCACAAAACCCACATTACCCCTTATAGCCTCCTCCTGAAGTGTGGAAGTGAACCATGAAAAGCTTATTTTTTCAGGGAAAATATCTCCTGCCTCATTTCCAATGGAAGATGACCCCATCCTCTGTTGCATGGGTACATGGAGGTTTAATTGTCTGTTTCACTGAATTAATATCCTCCAGCTCACACACATGCTCTAACTTAACATGTTCACATATATATTCATCCTGTCAGCATAGACGTGTATAACCTGTCTTCTGACCGGCAGAGCTTCTCCCTCTCCTTCCATATCTACTGTTGTGCAATGGGCTGTGAACAGCTGCCAGAGGGGAGTGGAATATGGCTAAACAGAGTTAGGTAAAGGAGGGCAGGGTGACATACATCATTTGGAGGAAGCTGTGGTCGAGTTGTGCACTTAATTCTAGACAGCCCCAACTCCCCACTGCTTTGTGGAGAGGGCTGCTGTTAATTAATTCCCCTATCCCTCATTAGCATTTAAAGAGCAAATTAACACTAAATCACCTATAGCACAAAAGCACTGTTGCACTCGTGTCCCCATCCCAACTGGTGATGTCAGAGAAGACATTTGACAGCCAATGCAAAGCACATCCTCTGACATCAGCACAATAATGATTTTCTGCCCTATGTGACACATTAATTTGATCTTTAAGAGACTATGACTTATGGAGAGATGAGGCCAGAGAATGACTACCAGTGTTTACAATTTCTTTTACCCTTTTTGCCTTCGGTTATTTATGGTGCAGGTAAGAAGTAGGAGTGGAAGAGTCAAGAAACAGAGCCTGTTAAGTGGCTCATCTTTAATATAAAACATGCTTTGCAGCATACGTCTAGTAGTGACTTTGACATTAATGCTGGTGTTAATATTGACATTCTTCTTCAGTTTATGAAAATCTGTATTTCATGGCTTGAAAATGTCTCAACACCCTGAACCTTGCAAGGCCAATGCTGACATAGACTACTCACGTTACTGTAATTAAGTAGTTTTTTTGGGAACTTAAACTTTAGTAGTATTTTTGCCTGAAATTTTACTCTTACTTAAGCATGCAGCCACAAATGATGGCATGGAGATGTTCAAGTAGGAGAAGCGTGGGTGTGCCTCCTTTAGTTTAAGCTACCATTAAGCAAAATCTCCCAAAAAAACATAATTCTTAAGGAAGAAGTGGTTGTAAAAGAAAATCTTACCTGGAGGCTGTCCATCTTGGAGGAGCACTTGGTGAGAATAACCCTGGCCAGCAGGAGGAGGATGGGGTTGGCTACTAGGCTGTACACAGACTCCCCATCCAGGAGCAGGCTGGAGTGGATAGCCTCAACCAGGGCCTGGGGCTGTCAGTCAAAATATTTTAAAATTGAGTAAAAGGACCAGTGTGGCAACTAACGGTGTAGACAGCATATCACTGGCTTTACTCTCCCTTTCCAAGTGCAAAGGAGAAACTACGGTGTCCCCAAAATGCACAAACAACACAAACAGTCCTATCTAGAGCCAGTTTCTTCATTCTGAGCTACTGTAGAAACATCCCGGTTCAACATGGTGGCCTCAGTAGCATAAGACCAGCTCCCCCCTTTGTAGATAAAATTGTGTCATTCTAAGGTAACAAAAACATAACAATTATTATTTTCATGTAATTATAAATAATGAAAACATATCTGTGAATATTTTATTCCATTTCCAACAATAGCTCCACACTGGGCATTAAGTCATCTCTACTGAAATGAATAGTAACTACAGCTTCCTGAATTTGCAGGTGCATGGGAAGCTGTGATTACAGAAGAAACAAAAATAAAAAATGGTGAGACAAGTTTTGAGTGTATCCCAACCAATACTAATAGTTTTTTGTGTTTTTTTACGTAAACATAATCTTGATACGGATCCCTTAGGTTTGTTTGTTTGTTACTTATTTACTGACATTTGCTCAGATACTACTAAAGCAGCAATAAGAAAACTTCAGCCTGGCCAATTTAGCCGTCTAGCACTAGTTTTGACTTTGGATGAAGACCAGAAGCCACTGACAGGGAAGGATTACAGCAATCATTTTCGACCATATTTTTAAACTTTGTACCATCTCATCAAATAATTGTTTGTGATTTTGTCACAAACTTCCCTGTTGTTGTGTAGGCACACACCGTTCAATTGCAATGTTCCTTCACTTCAGTAAAGAATTTATATATTATGCAGTGCTGCTTGTTAATGCACACCTTTGCACATTCCAACAGTTCAGCCCAGAAGCAATTAAACATGTCTAATCAACACAATGACTCATGCACTACAGTTATTCATCAATACCTCAGCTGTCAGCTATCCAGATCTGAGTCATAAGGCACAGTAGCCAAGAGCAGGGTCTATACCCATCAGTGGTGGGCCGTCAGGGCCTGCAAGGCCTTCTCTGCTGGCCTAAAAAATATCTGAATCACAGACTGATAATAAATTATAAAAACATATAAATAATTATATTTTGTCCATGAATACTTATATAATAATTATATATATTTTTAATAATTATTATTAAATAATTCCAAATGGTCTGTCCGCTTCCTTTCATAGCTTTTCCCCTGGTTGCGCTGCTTCCAGACGTGTATTTTCATATCCATATATAACCAATCACATTTCAGCCATCATTTGTTGCCAGGGTCAAAGAAATCTGCCTGGAGGCCTTCACAATCAGTTCTGTGGGCCCTGTAGCATAAAATAAGTGTCGATCAAAATGTTGCTTCAACCAATCAGATTTTGAGTTGCCGACACCGAGGCCCTCTAGCAGGCATATGGTGACGTCAGCGTATACACACCCTTTGATTGGATAGTCAGAGAGCGTACTAGCCAGAGCTAGCAAACTGCATTCTGTAGCGAACTAAACAAACAAGTTTATTATAGTTGGATTGATTTAAAAGTTGTTTTAAAGGAGAAGAAATGGATTTGGTTGCAGATGTATTTTTAAAGCCATTTTCACGACTGACTTTTCAAGAAAAGCTGGACATCGTTAAGAAAGGTCGGGCAACTCCAAAGCTAGCAAGCCTGTCACAACCGGGAAAAGGATATATCCGCCACTTTCAGTCCACTAACTACGAGCGGTACCCCTGGCTCACAGGCTCTGAGGAACACTGCAAACTGTATTGCTGGGAGTGCTTATTTGCCACTGATCGACATGGTGTTTGGAGCCACACTGGGTTTGTAAATTTGACTTGCCTAAACAAGGCAGCATGCTTTCCAAAACTTTTGGGGAAACCAGAGTGGATCTACAGCTGAGCGAGCAAGCGCGCAGGGAAACGGAGCTCCACAACGAAAAGGTGAAGAAAAATAGGGAAATCCTAAAAAGACTGATAGACTGTTTTTTTTGGGCAAGCAGGAACTTTCATTTCGGGGACACGATGAAAGCGCTGGATCCACAAACAGAGGAAACTATGTGGAGCTTCTTTCTCTCATTGCTGAGAGCAAAATGGATCTACTTTACCACCTGTCCACTAATAAAGTGTTAAGTGGGACGTCGGGCAAAATACAAAACGACCTGATCACTGCTATTGCTGAAGTGATGGGAGAAGAGATCAGAAGGGAAGTTAATGAAGCACAGTTTGTCTCTGTTATGGTGGATGAGACAGACGCGAGTAACGCAGCGCAGGTCGCACTGGTCCTGTGTTACGTAAAGGGCACAGGTGTCAAGGAGCGGTTTCTGGAGCATCATGATGAGTATGATGAGGACTCTGTGCTGTCCTGATGGATTTAAAGCACGTCAGGAGGATTTTGAGTTTTGTTTTTTGCTTCCCACATTTAATGGTATTTCTGAGTATTCAGACGTGCTCTTTTCAATACTACAGAACAAAAAACTGGATGTACAGTTTTGTCTGGCAAAGGTAAAGGAGTTTTGTGACACCATTGAGCCAGAGAGGAGCCGATATGCGTAAATCTATGAGGCCACTGAACGCACCGCAGGCGCACCGAGCGCACAAAGAGGTCAAGCCCAAGATCCACGCGTGCACTACCACCAACTCCACGGCAGGATTCTGGACAATATTATTTGCCAGACACAGACCAGATTTCAAGACCATGAAAAACTGATGTTTGTCATCCTCCTCAACCCCCAGAAATTTCGGGAATACCAGAAGAAATTCCCACATGCAGCCTTCTCCAGCTTAACACAGAGCCATGGAACATTTTTCGATCTGTCTCGGCTGAGAATAGAACTGACTGTAATGTATGCCATGGGTGATTTTGCAGGAAAACCTCCCACTGATCTCCTTGACTTCCTTCAGCAGAAAAATCTGAGTGAGAGCATCAGGCAGCTGTACACATTTTTATGCTTGGCGGTGACCCGTGTCCACTGCTTGTGTCGAGCGGACATTTTCAGCCCTAAAGCGAATTAAAACTTATGCCAGAAATACGACAGGGCAGGCTCGACTTTCAGCATTAGCCTCAATGGCGATAGAGAAGGACTTCTTGGTGGAACTGAAACACATGGGTAATCTGTACGACAGAGTAATTGAATAAATCAAAAACTGTGGCCCCTCAGTCTCAGCTTCCTCTTCACCACAACAATCCAGTACAATAGACCTTATTCCCAGCAGACAATCTGACTTGTAATAGCAGGAAAAGCACAGGGGTTATCAATAACATTAACAAAACACCCCCTCCAAAACACTTCAAGAGGCAGCCATATTTTTTTCTGCTACAGTCGAGATAGGCAGTGTAGCATGTAGAGGGGGCCCTTATTAACTGCGTACCCTACTAACAATTATACCTTTATAACACAATAATTAATAACCCACAACTAACTCTTTCAATAATTTGTGACTTTTATTCTTACTTGTGCAATAGAACATTTGAGAAATATATATTATTATTATTATTAATATTATTATAATTATTATTATTTCTGAATATTTAATAGTTTTATTATTTTATTTATTCATTAGTCAATGATTATTAATCATTCATTTGGTCATTTGATACTTTGGTGCTCATGGTTTCTGTAAAATGAACTGAAGGTTTGATTTGTTGAGAGTCTAACTGATCTAATGACGTGTAGCATGTCCATATTGACAAACATATATTTGTGTAGGTGATCTAAGCAGCTTAGAAATTACTCAAGTGGGTGACTTGGTGAACTTTAAGAGGTTTCATACATCCAAAGAATTAAAATCCTCTAATTGAGACCTGCATTTATTTGTCAAAACGTGTAGCTACACCAGGTTTTATGGTACATTCTGCTTCCTTCATATGTTTTATCATTTAAAGCTTTCAGTATATGGGCTTCCGGTTATGGCGTTGAGGTGAAAGGACGTGCTGAGCGAGCGCTCCCAACCCGGTCTGCTAAATCCCCTAGATTAGAGCTGTTTCAGCCAGGGATAAGACACGAAAGACTAAAGGCAAACCAACCCAGAACCAAGAAAAAGGTGAAGAAAACACGACAGGAAAAGACGGCGGAGGCATTACTGACAAACTTGAGGCTATGGATAGCTTGCAAGCTATCATTGGGGCTATCCACAAAGAAATACTGGCTATCCACTCGGACGTGAAGGAGGAATTAGGTTGTTTCCGTGACAATCTCTCCAGAGATATGAAGAGAGATTTGGCTAGTTTCAGAGAGGACGTTAATGAAAAACTGAACGAAATTGTGACCGATTTGAAAGAAACCAGAGACAGGGCCGAAGAGGCAGCACAGCGCGTGTATCAGACATGGAGGAGTGGACCGCCATGACAAAGACGTGCTGTCTCAAACTTTGATTAATCAAGACCAAATCCAAGCCAAACTGACTGATTTAGAGGCACTCTCACAGATAAATATTATTCGCATATACGGGATTCCCGAGGACATAGAAGGAAGCAACTTGCAAGAGTTTATTAAAAGATTTATTAAAGCCAAGCTGTCGCTTCAGGATACGGAACTTGGCATACAGCGCTGCCACCACGCACTGGGCCCTAAACCACCACAGAACGCCAGCCCCCGATCAGTGGTGATTCTTTTTCTGGAGAATAGAACCAAGGAGTTGGTGCTGCGCTCCGCGTGGAAAAAAGGAGAGATCCGCCTTGATCAACAGAGGTTGTACTTTGACTAAGATTACCCGGCAGAGATCCAAAAGAAGAGGAGAGCTTACGCTTACGATACTCATTCCTGAGCTATCCCAGTTGGCACTGGAGAGCCCCCTTCATACACTGGAGGCTTTTCTCTCCAATTAGGACTCCTTAAGAGGAAATTTTGTTATGGAAGCTGTTTTTTTCTTTCATTTCCTTTATATGTATATTTTCAAGTTACAAGTTCTTTGTTACTATATTTGTTCATGTTCAAGTGTTAAGGTCACCGTGGGTGCACATAGTGAAGGGGACAACTATATTTAAC